ACACATCCATGCTCCACGTGTGGGGGTGCATGGTCCAATATCGCCCGCCGACATCAACCATCGGGAAGTTCAAGAGCCGCGCGCGCTGGGGGGTCCACCTCGGCATCAGCCACGAACAAAAGGCGTGGATCATTCTGGATCTCCTGAGCCAGAAAATCAAGAACGCTCGCGACGTCATCTTCTACGAGCGCCTCTTCCTCCAGCAGTTCCGCGAAGACGAGCAGACGAACGCGAACCGCGTCTACGCCAACGACGGCCACAGCTACGCCTCACCTGAGGACGAAGCCGCAGCAGCAATTCTGGAGCAGGACCCCAGAGGCGAGTTCACGAGAGGCGATCGACACGACGACGACGACGACGACGATAATTCAGGAGAAGGAGGAGCGGGCGCAGCAGGAGGCGCAACAGGAGGAAGCGGAAGTGGTGCAGGAGCAGCACCACCAGCCCCACCAGAACCAGAAAGCGACGACGACGATGTGCAGGAGGTCATCCCGCAGCATCGCCACGACAGCACCGTCACCGGAATGCAACTCCTCGGGCTCCATGCTGCCATCTCAACGGCGCTTCGTGTCATCGAGCCTAAGAACCCACGGCAAGCACTCACGGGACCTCACAGCAAGGAATGGCGCGAGGCAATGGATGCGGAGATCAGGTCACTCGAGTCACGCGACACCTGGGTACTCGTCGACCGTGCAGCAGTGAAGGGGAGAAGGATTCTTTCCGGCAAGTGGGTCTTCCGCGTGAAGACCGGAGCTGACGGGACGATCGAGCGCTTCAAAGCGCGCTGGGTAGTACGCGGCTACGACCAGAGGCACGGGATCGACTTCGATCAAACGTTTGCACCGGTGAGCCGCCACACCTCCGTCAGGATACTCCTCGCCATCGCAGCCGCACGACATCTGCCGCTCCGACAGATCGATGTCAAGAACGCATTCCTGTACGCGCTCGTAGATGCAGTAATCTACGTGGAGCAGCCGCACATATACGGCGAAGGAGATTCACGGGTCTGCCAGCTGCGGAAGTCCCTTTACGGGATCAAACAGGCGCCGAGACTCTGGCAGCAGTACCTGCACAACATACTGCTTGAAATCGGGTTCAAGCAGCTGCCTCATGATCCTGGGATGTATCGCCGCGATTTCCGCGGCGAATACATCCTACTCACGGTCTACGTCGACGACCTCCTCTACACAGGATCAAGCAACGAGCTGCTTGAGCAATTCGAGAAAAACCTCGCAGAGCGCGTCGACATCACCTGCAATCATGACGTGAAGCAGTTTCTCGGGCTCAACATCACTTACTCGCCGGAAGCCATTCATCTCTCAGCAGCGAAGTATGCAGAGGAGCTTAGCAAGCGCTTCAACATTGCGCCTGCACCACTCTCCACCCCTTACCGCACCCCAGGACCTAACCACAAGCCTGACAACAAAGCCCTGTCCCCCGCTGGGCTTCAGACCTACCAGCAACAGTTGGGATGCCTGCTCTTTGCATCTGTTACCTGCAGGCCGGACCTTTCCTACATCGCGAGCCAGTTGGCTCAGTACTCTCGCAAACCAACGGCTGAGAATCTACTAGATCTTCAACGGGCGCTTCAGTTCTTCATCTCCACGCCCAGCATCGGGCTCTGCTACTCCACCATTCCAACTTCATCCTTCAACCTCATCGGCTACGTGGACGCCGATCACGCCGCTGACCCCGATAATCGACGGTCCAGGACAGGGTTCCTTTTCCGTCTCGAGCCCAGCGGCCCCATCTCCTGGAATTCACAGAAACAGGAGCTGGTTGCCCTGTCATCAGCAGAGGCTGAATTCATCGCAGCAACAGCAGCCGTTTGCGAAGGCCTCTACCTTCAGGAGCTGCTGCAGGAGGCGAAAATTCCAGCCTCGACGAATTTTCGCCTACACTGCAACAACCAGAGCGCGATCAGGATCGCGAACAAGCCGGGATTCGTCAATCGCACCAAACACATCGCGCTGCGGTACTTCTTCGTCAAGGACGAAGTTGACAAGGGCAAGGTTGACCTAACCTACTGCTCGACGGGCGACATGGCAGCTGACTTCCTCACGAAGAAGCTGTCACGTCAGCAGTACCAGCACTGCTCCGAACTCAGCGGGGTAGTCAAGCGGGTCAAGACTCGCTACGGCCAGGAGTGAAGGGGGGTGTTACGATAGTGATTGTTGAAACACTATTACACACTCCCCACCGCAGCAATCGAAGCACGCTTTACCGAGAACGAAGACGGACAGGCGGAGGTGACACGAAGAGTCACACGGTTACGAAAGGATCTGGACCGTCGGGCAGACAGCATCAGGCAGCAGCAGTGGCGAGGATTCTGTCCGAACAGTTTCGTAACTGTCTGGAGTCGCACGGTTGGATTTCGCTGCAATAAGGGAATGTACCCCTTAGAGTACATGGCTAGCTAGGCCGATTGGTATCCCCTTGTAATCTTATTTATATTACTTGTACTGCATGTTTTTATTATCTCAAGCATTTACATTCACTCTGCTATTGAGGTCAAGGGCCCACCACCACTAGACTAGGACTGTGCGAACCTTCCTGAGGTGATCCTGAGGGTGATCAACTTCTGATCGCAACATCACCCATGCTTCCTAGTCTGACCATTCCGCTTTTCTCACTTTGAGAGAAATCGTTGTCAAGACGTTTTTCGCGAGGTGGTAATAAAGCATCGTTCAGTCGCATACGATGCACAATGTTGTACGTGTGAACTGTGAGGGTGGCCCTAAGTAAGGAAGAAGTTGTTTCCTTACATGCGCAAACAATAGACTGAAACCTTACAAATTCATTCGCGACAAAGTACATCTGAGTAGCAGGGGATGATGTTATATATTTAAAGTTTCTAAAACTGTACATATATGTAACCAGCCAGAGCATATACAGTCCCTTGAAGCTGCTGGCGAATTTTGCGAAAACTCTCGAATTGAGATGTTTCAGTCCATGCCTTCACGAAAGGTTGGCGCGTTTGTGTTGGGCTTCGGCCCTGTTAGCCACGCCCCTTGTGGGTCATCGAAGGGATGAGGAGGGGATCGAGAATCCGCCCTGCACCTTCGTGAAGGGCTCAAAATCAGGGTTTAGGTACGGGCAGCGTGACAAAATCCTGTCGAGCCTGATGATCCCCTCCGAACCTCAGAGGGCTCCTGCGCGAACACCCACCTTTTTTGGGAGGGGTGGGGGTTCGCGAATGCGCAGCGCAATTTCTCGCCCTGCCACCCAGGAATCCCCTACCCTCCCTCGTTCATCTCTCGCGCATACCACCCTTAGGGGTGTTTTGCGATGGCATGGCCGAGGGATTTGCCCTAATTCCCGCCATAAGGAAGGAGGGAGGGAGGTGCTCGATCCCCTCGTCCCCCTTCCTTATCCCCCCCCGAAAATTCCATTTGCAGCGAGCCCCCGGACGTAACAGGCACCTTCATTCGCACCTTCGTATCCTCGCCCCATTCTCGCCCCTCACGTCCAAGGGGTCGTGGAGAACGGGGCTTCATGTGTTTGCTATATTGGCAGCCAACCATGCTGACTCAGTTTATCAATGTCCAGTCAGCATGGCTCGAAAAGTCAACACAAAGTCAGCAATAAGAATTTTAGGACCGACAGCAACTCATCCCGCGAAGGCTCACCACTCACTCACCCCGCCCAACCAATCCAAACCAAACAGCTGATATTGGCGGGGCGCGCGCAACAGCCAGAACTTCACCTGATTCAAGCCCCAAGGCGTTCCCCTCCATCGCTGTTTCACAATCCTGCACATTTTGCATCCATACTACATTTCCCTGGTTTGTCTCTCAGATTTCTCGGACTCGTAGACTAATCTCAAAGGTACCTTCTAGCTCAACTTGCGACCGCATTTCGGAGTAACTATTAATAAAATACATCGGAAAAGCTATGCTCGGTGGACCTTACTGCTCTGCTTTAAAAACAAGATCGAGGATGGGTTTCTTTTGCTGCTTTCCTGGCACGAACCGTGAGTCACGCAAAGTGTTCAAATAGTCGGTTTAGGTGACTTGAAAGCTTCACTCAATCAGCGTCTTGTGTTATTATCATGCGCCCAAAGTTTAGACGTATCATTGTTTTTAGAATCTGGCTTTCTGCGGCTTTGTTTCACATCGTTTTTCCGGGCGAAATAAAATCCATTTCTCGTTTCCTCAGTCGTCATCCTCCAAGGGTTAAAGTGCGGACGGTGCTTCAGCGGCACTCGATTTTTGAGTCGGACTAGAAATTCATAGCTTTTACAATCGCCGTTTCCTGCATCACCAAATGTTGCTGACCCAAACTTTGGTCCCAAAGGGTCTTCGACCCCAGTCCTTTGTTAAAGCCGACCCTATAACCCCGAAGTAACTTCTTGGCTAGTAAATACTCTAACCGAAAAGAACTTGAGCCAAAACTGACCCGAATCTGCCTACGCGAGTATGGAGCTTTAGGGATGCGGGTTCAATACTTGATGCTGGCAGTTCTCGTCTCTGAATTTTGTTTGGAGCAATGTGGGCTGCTAGTGGTTGCTGGAGACGCGGGTTCGACACTTGGCATCGGCCGTTTTCTAACATAAATGTCGTTTTTGTTTTTCAGTGTCTACTACCCTGTTAGAGCGATCTCATTACCATCCATTAGGCTACACCGAATAACTAGTTTATAGTGACATAGACATTTCCAGTGGCGATGGTGCCGGCTGTGTGCTTCCGGGGTCACCTCACCTAGTGGTAGTACGTACTCACATGATAGGTAATGATATTTCCTCCCCACACTCCACATTGCCCCGCAACAACCCTACCTTTCCCTCCTCCTAACCTTTCCCGCTTCTTTCCTCTCCAACAACTACCCTTTCCGCCGTTCCCCTTTCCCCCCTAAACGAGCGGCCCGCGTAGGCTATCCGGGCAGTGGGGGCGGACGGCTTGGTGCGGCCGTACTAGCACTCCTCCCGGAAAAACCATTCGTCCCACCTCCCCACTCCCCTCTTCCCTCCTGTCCTCCCAAAAGACCATGAGCCCGTGGAGATGCGCGCCGTGGAGGACGACGGCACGCTGCCGCAGTACTCGCAGGACGAGCTGCGGCGGGCGACGTGCGACTGGCGCACCAAGCTGGGGGAAGGCGGCTTTGGCGCCGTCTACAAGGGCATGCTGCTGCTGCCAAGCGGGGGAGCGCGCGGGGGAGGGTACGGGGGAGGGGACGGGGGAAGGGATCATGGGGGGGACGGGGGAGGGTGGGACGAACGGGACCATGAGGAAGAGGTGCAAGGGGGGATGGGGCCCGGGATCAATGATGATTTGGAAGTGGTGCAAGTGGGTGGGAAGGAGTTTGTTCCTGTGGCGGTGAAGATGTGCTTGACTGACAATGCGGAGGGAGGGGCGAGAGAGCAGCTACTGGTGAGTGAGTGATACTACTGTGATTGAGTTACATATGAATACTTCTGGTGAGTTACAAGCAACACTTACCTGGTAAGTAACAAATGAACAATAACCTGGAAAGTTACAAATGTATACTTTCCTGGTGATTTCAGCTCTTACCATATACCCCAAGTTTTCCTTCAACCCCCCCCTCCCCCCCCCTCCTCTCACCTCTCCTTCCTCCCCCAACAGACAGAGATCATAACGATGACTGCTCTGCACGCTTCCTCATTGTCCCTTCCCTTCCCCTCTCCCTCAATCAACACCTCTGCACCCATCATTCTCCTATGGAGATATTGATGATGAGTGTTCTACACCATCCCAATATTCCGCGGCCGCTGGGAGTGGCTTGGGCGAACCATTAGACCCCCCTACACCCACCCTTGTCAGATGTCAGACAGAAATCACGGTCGTTACGCTCCCCCGCTTCTCCTACCCTCCGCCGTCACCCCATTGCCCTCCTCTCACCATTCATCAGACGGAGGTCATGATGATGACTGCTCTACACCAATGAGAAGTCTTCTCCTTCCTCTCCCCTCTTCCCCGACCCGACCCCCTCTCCCTTCCCCCCATCAGACAGAGACACGATAATGCAGGGTGTTTTTGAGAATTCTCAAAAACACCCTGCAGCATCATGGACTTAGATACCCTCGGTTCGTTACAGCATGGAAGTTACCTAGCAAAATTTGTAATAGATTAGTAAAGGCTAAAATAGTGTAGATGGGAAGAATTGTAACCAGTTGGTGGTCGCCCAATAGATGGTGACCAACCTCCTGGAGGTTCCCACGGTGCATGAGTACTTGTCGAACTTGACAGCTAGAATCAGTAGCTGGCAAGGCGCTTCACTGGAGGCGCGCTTCACTGGAGTCGCACGAAGAAGCTTTCAGCTTGATGGCTCCTGGAGGGAGGGAGTAGAAAGGATTCGTAGTCAGTTTGCTTGATCCTTAGCAAGGTTCAAAATTACGGTTTTTTTTAACCTTGATCCTTAGTGTGCTGATGAAGGCCTTTGCTGGCCGAAACGCGTTCACACGCGACATCCAGGCCTAATGTGTCTGGCTTTCTGATTAGTAGACCTTTTCTCACTACTTCCCTCGATTTTCAGATTAGTAGACTCAGTACTACAGATCGTTACTCTTAGTAGGCTTGCTGCGTTTCGAATCCAACAAAATTCAACTGAGACACGATAATGATTGCCCTGCACCATTGGCCCTTCCCCCTCCTCTCCCCTCTTCCCCGACCTTCGGGACTCTCCCCGTCCCCCCATCAGACAGAGATACTGTAATGACTGCGCTGCACCATCCCAACATTCTGCGCCTGCTGGGAGTGGCCAAGATGGGGCGAACCATCAGACGCCCCCCCCCCCAAGACCCCCCTGCACCCACCCTTCTCAATGGGGAGAGACCCGAAGGCAGAACTCATTGTCGTGATGCTCCCCCCCTCTCCTCCCCTCTGCCATCCTCCCCTTCTCCTCCACTCCGCCATTTCCACCCGGTTTCTCCTCCCTCTCCACTCCCCCATCAGACGGAGGTCATGATGATGACAGCGGTGCACCATCCCAACATTCTGCGCCTGCTGGGAGTGGCCGTGATGGGCCAAACCCTTGCCATGGTCTCTGAGTTCGTCCCGGGGGGGGATGTTTCCCAGCGGTTAAAGAAAGGTACAGGAGGGTGGAATGCGGTGGAATGTGGTGGGCATGTGCGCACATGATGGGGCGGATCACTGCCTTGGACTCTGAGTTCGTAAGGGGGGGGGGGAGGAGGGGGGAGAAAGGGGGAGATGTTGGCCAGTGCGGGGGGAGATGTTGCCTAGCATGGGGGGAGGTGTTGCCTAGCATGGGGGGAGATGTTGCCTAGCATGGGGGGAGATGTTGCCTAGCATGGGGGGAGGTGTTGCCTAGCATGGGGGGAGATGTTGCCTAGCATGGGGGGAGATGTTGCCTAGCATGGGGAGAGATGTTGCCTAGCATGGGGGGAGATGTTGCCTAGCGCCTCAAGAAATGTAATACGGTGCCATCAGGCGCTGTGTGGTGTGGTGTGATGCAATGGGGGTACTTCGTTCCCAACACCTGATGGGCCTTGGGGTGTGAAAAGACGCAGCGTTTCTCCTTTCTTAGTGAAAGCCGCTGGAACAAGCCTAGATAGCAGGTTCCAGGCGCCTCAGAACTAACTGAAAGCAACTGGAACAAGCAACTGGAACAAGCAACTGGAGCACGCAACTGGAAGAAGCAACTAGGACAAGCAACTGGGACAAGCAACTGGGACAAGCAACTGGGACAAGCAACTGGGACAAGCAACTGGGACAAGCAACTGGAACAAGCAACTGTGGAACAAGCAACCGGAACTTGTCCCTTGCTTCCTCACAGTTAATATCTCAGGTGCCTCGAAACCCTTCCCGCTCACCCCTCCTGCTCGCCCGTCCCTGTCCAAGCAGCAAAGAATGACACAGAGCCCTTCCCCTGGAAGGAGCGGTTGCGCATCGCCAGGGGGAGTCTCGAGGGGCTGGCGGCAGGGAGGGGTTCATTCACCGCGACTTCAAGTCCGCCAATGTGCTTCTAACGAAGGTGGGTGCTTGTTGTGTGCTTCTCACCACGGTGAGTCATACCGTGCTTCTATCCCAGGTGGTTCCTTGTAATGCCAGTGAGTCTTGAGGGGCTGGGTTGGCTGCAATGCACAAGGACGGATTCATGATTTATCCACCATGACTTCAAGGTCGCTAGTGTGCTTATAACGAAGGTGGGTTCCTCTTGTGTGCTTCTAACGAAGATAAGTCAGTTCAATAGGCTAATATTTCTAGTCAACAGGGAGGGGTTTATCCATTGCGACTTCAAGGTCGCCAATGTGCTTCTCACCAAGGTTGGTCGCACCAATGTGCTTATAACGAAGGTTGGTCGCACCAATGATCTTTTAACCAAGATAAAACGCTTCATTGTGCTTATTCTAACCAAGGTGAAACTCTCCGAGGTGCTTCTAAACAAGGTGGTCCAGACGTGGACTCGTGTGGTTCTCAACATATCCTCTTGTGTGGATCGAGGTGACACTGGTATGACCCAACATGCATACAACTATAAAGCACACCTGCCAAGCGTTTCGGAACTATAAAGCACACGTGACGTGCTGTGATTCGACTTAGGTTACGCCTGGTGACGTTTGTGTGCGTTGAGGGCACACTTACAAAACGTTTCAATACGCATCATCATGCTTTCAACTCAGGCCAGGATGCTCGAATCAGGCCAGGATGCTCGAATCAGGCCAGGGTGCTCGAATCAGGCCAGGATGCTCGAATCAGGCCAGGATGCTCGAATCAGGCCAGGGTGCTCGAATCAGGCCAGGATGCTCGAATCAGGCCAGGATGCTCGAATCAGGCCAGGATGCTCGAATCAGGCCAGGGTGCTGGAATCAGGCGAGGATGCTCGAATCACAAGCGTTCTAAGTTGGGGTTCTTGCTCGACTTCCCCCCGATCTTTGAGGCGCCTAAGAAACTGTCTCACTTCCAACACATCCCCTTCTGGAGGACCGACCATGACCAGCCAAGGCAACGCAAAATCACAACACACGTTGCAGCCCTTGACTAGTTTCACCCAATCTCTGTTTCCTCTTGCTTTGTACCTATGTGTTTCTTTCTCCACACGCTCAAGGGGGTGGTATGTTTCGGTTTACCCAATGCGTGGCAAGTAGACATCTTAGACTAGCCAAGGCATGTCAGAGCAAAACACGGCTCCTGTTTAAGCAAGCATGACAAGCATGCATGCCAATTCCTACAAATACGTCTCCTTGCGGCCCCGGACTTTTCTCTCTCACCTGTTTTTTTTTTTTTTTTTTTTTTTGTCAATCTGCATGTTTCCAGGCAGTTGTTCCGACGGTAGAGGATTTTGGATTGGCCAATGCATGACACGACAAAAGGGCGAGAGTTGCTGAGTCCATGTGGCCAATGTACCCTTCTTACCTCTCAAATGGTCCTTTGTATTAATTCAGCAGGGGGTACAGACATTCAGTTTGACTCGTGATTCCCTTAGACCTTCCGACCCATTAACCCACCCCCCTCTGACCCTCCCCCCCCCTGAGTGACCCTCTACCCCTCCAGCGTGTGGAGGATGTCCCCTAGGTGCAGCGGCCATGGGTCCGCTGCCATCTGGAGGTGCGCTGCCTCAATCCCCGCCCTGGCCTTACCTCTCAGTATCTGTATGTTTCCAAACACTCGTTCCCAAAAATGGCAGATTTCAGGTTGGCCACGGCATGTCAGAGCAAAGCGCATCTCCTTGCGGTCTCGGACTGATTTCTCCCACCTGCTGTATCATGTTCTTGTTTTCAATCCGCATGTCTCCAGACGCTCATTCCCAAGGTGGCGGATTTCGGATTGGCCAAGGCATGCCAGGACAAGACACATGTCACGACGCGAGTGGCTGGGTCGTGGGGCTATATGGACCCATCGTACTTTGAGAGAGGTGAGCCGGTGCGTTGGCTGTCGCTGTCTGCAAAGATTCTCGGTCAGGGCTAACATGTTTGCAAGTACTATGCCCCTGAGTGATCATGGCTCAGGTATGCACACGGTGCACCCAAAGTGATCAGGTATGCACACGGTGCACCCAAAGTAATCATGGCTCAGGTGTGGCCAAGGTGAGCTGCTCCAAGCATTATTTGCCTCGAAATTCGCCTCGTTTTGAGAGAGTGTGAGATGGGTTTTGTGGGACATTTGAGGTGCGACAATATACTGAGGTGACTTTTGAGTCGACCCATAGTCATCACTTCTGAGTGAGGGTGAGATGGGTTTGGGAGACATTTGAGAGGTGCGTCGTTGTAAGTATCTTCCTCTGCACTTGCTTCACTTGCAATTCATGTGTCCCCTCACAACTCATTCCTTGCAACATCATTTTGCTGACATGTGGTCAAGCCTTACTATACTTGTGGAATTTGAGCCGCGAGCTTTGATTAAGTCACATCTCACACTGTTCCAACCAGTGCTCAAATTTTGAGATGTGACCTGGTTGCTCCTCTACCCTTGTACCCTTCAGGAATCTTATCATCTCATTGTGACACGTACGCCTTTGGCGTTTTCCTGCTAGAGCTCGTCACCGGGCGCAGTGTGCTAGATGAATCATTCCAAATGAAAAGGAGACATTTGCGGAATCTTGCGTTCGCGGATTATGCCGAGCTGTTCGACAAAAAGCTGGAGGGGCAATGGACGGAGGAGCAGGCGGAGGTTCTGGTGGGCATGATGCGAGATGCGATTCAAAGTGACTGGGCTCATCGACCCACTACGGATCAATTGCTAGTGACGTGGAATGAGCATCTTTGTCTAGGGGAATAAAACTACCTATTTGTTCAATTTCACTCGTGTTCAGGCCCTACGATATCAGGGTAAAACATCCTGATTACCCTGATTTCAGGGTGTGTCTAGGGACTGTGCCCTGAAATTTCAGGATAGTGTTGGATCTTCACCTTGTAACTTCAGGATGATTGCAAACCGTATCACGTGCCCTGAAATTTCAGGATGTGTGTATTTTTTTGCCCTGAAACATCAGGATGAATGACGAGGAGTGCCCTGCCAAGAATATTGTACTCTGTGATTTGAGACGTCTAAAAAAACGTGATTCTGGGCCATCCATATCCAATGAGAGGACTCGCATTTACTTAGTACCCGAGCTTCTTGTTCAGTAGGGTTTGGCCATCACCGGTTTGACCTGCGAGGAGAGTGGGATGGTGGGAACAAGCAGTGGTTTCGTTTTGTGTGCATATGGCATGATGGTTGTGAGGTATGCACATCAATTTTGATTCATAGATGGTTGAGGAGGTTTGATGAGAAGTGACACACAAAAGGAGTGATGGCCAAGCAATGAAACTGCACACCATGCCAAGGCCACGCACACACACGCCCATCCACACACACGCCCATCCACACACACGCCCATCCCCACACACGCCCATCCACACACACGCCCATCCACACACACGCACCTTGGGGAGACATCCAGGCGTGCTGTGCTCCATCACTGCTCACTGCACACTGCACACTGCACACTGCACACTGCACACTGCACACTGCTCACTGCTCACTGCTCACTGCACACTGCTCACTGCTCACTGCACACTGCACACTGCACACTGCTCACTGCTCACTGCTCACTGCTCACTGCTCACTGCTCACTGCACACTGCACACTGCACACTGCTCACTGCTCACTGCACACTGCACACTGCACACTGCACACTGCTCACTGCTCACTGCTCACTGCTCACTGCTCACTGCACACTGCACACTGCACACTGCTCACTGCTCACTGCTCACTGCTCACTGCTCACTGCTCACTGCACACTGCACACTGCTCACTGCTCACTGCTCACTGCTCACTGCTCACTGCTCACTGCTCACTGCTCACTGCTCACTGCTCACTGCTCACTGCACACTGCTCACTGCTCACTGCTCACTGCTCACTGCATACGCGCTCGCCCAACCAACCAAACACACACATGCACGCACCTTGCGGAGGCATCCATCCAGGCCTCGGAGCCTTGCTTAATGTGCACACACACTGTGCACACACCGTGCACACACGTGCGCAACAACTCACCCACACACGCCCAACCATACACACACACCTTGCAGAGGCATCCAGGCCTCGGTGCCTTGCTCCATATCTGCATGCATGCATGCAGTGCGCAAGTGCAACCACTCACACACACACACCCAACCGCTCATAGCGCAAACACACACCTTGCGGAGGCATCCATGCCTCGGTGCCTTGCTCCATCTCCGCTGCTGCCTCCTCCAGAAACTTGGGCCGCGCTGGCCCCAACACCCTCCGCCGCTTCCCCTCCCCTCCTCCTCCACCACCACCACCACTACTGCCAGCACCAGCAGCAGCAGCACCAGCAGCACCGGAAGATGCAGCAGGAGAAGCACCAGCACCTCCACCACCATTGGCACCAGTGTTGTGGCCACTTCCAACATCAGCAGTGCCCCGCTTGCTCCGAATCTTAAGCCCACCATCATCCCCACCTCCTCTCTTCGTCCCTCCCACACTCTCTTTCTCATCAATCTTCCTCTCTCCCACACTCCCCCCTGCAGCTTCCTGCTTTTGAGCTTCCCCCATCCCCTGTTCCCTCCATTTCTCTCCCATCTTCCCCTCTTCCTCCTCCGCTGCCGCCCCTCCCTCGTGATGTTCCCTCCTTTTGACCGCCACATCTGCTGCTTCTTCTGCCCCCGCAGGGGCCTTGCTAGCATGGGGTGCCGCACTGTTGAGCTCACTGCCCCTCGCTCCCGTTGCCTCCTTTTGAGGTGCCTCGAAAGTCGTTAATTCTGCTCCCACTGCGGCACCGCTGTCTTGGGCTGCTGCAGTGACCACCTCACTGCCCCTTGCTTCCTTCTGCCTCTTCGCCTCCTTTCCATTGCCCTTTGCTGGCACGTCAGTTTCCTCAGGGGCCGCAGCAGCTGCGGCAGCAGAAGGAGGCGAAAGGGCAGCAGATGCAGCTGCAGCAGCAACAGAAGCAGAAGCAACAGACGCAGCAGCAGCGGCAGCAGCATGATCCGGCAGTGTGGCTGTCTCTCTACCGTGTGGGGCCCACTTGGCCTCTGCCTCTCCTGAAGGGTCTGCCAGCTGTAGCAGTGCTGCCACCCGCTCCAGCTCGCCTGACAGCCGGGCGGCCTCCCTTGTCAGCGTCCCTAATTTGTCCATTTCTGAGGAAGAGCGAGTGAGAGGGCAAGGGACGGAAAATGGAGGCGGGTGAGGAGGAGGGGAGAGAAACAGAGGAAGAGTACAGTTTGAGAGGCATGAAGAGGATACCTCGATCAAATAAATTCAACCATAAAAATAGTGCAGCCACCAGCCAGCCCACCAGCAGCACATTCGGCCTGATACTAGTGCAATCAAATGTGAGAGAGGTGCTCAGCCTACATCTGTTTTTTGAGAATTTTGAAAAACTGCCTGATACTCCTGCAATCAGATGAGAAAGACGTGCAGCACATAGCTCAGCTATAACAGCGGCACACCCATCTCTGTGTTCTTCTGAGTTGACTCAAAAGTCAACGCAGCACACCTATCTTTGTGGTGACAGACAGTACACATGAAGGCATCCAGAGGATCCAGAGCCACCACCACAGGCTCAACCATCACTCACAGTAGCGCCCCACCAGCCCACTCAGCAGCACAAATCAGCCATGAATGCAACAGCAGCGCACCTATCTTTGTGGTCACAGCCGACATGAAGGCATCCAGAGGATCCAGCGCCACCTCACCACCAACGCCCTCCCCCTCCCCTCCTCCCTCCACTCTCTCCACTCCCTCCCCACTCGCCTCCTCTCTCCTCCTCCTCTCCTCTGCCACCTGCCCCTCCACCTCTCTCAGTCGCTCCTGCAGCCCATGCCTCTCCTCCAGCAGGTCAACTGCTGTCACCACACCGCCTGCCCCTTTCCGCCCTCCTGCCCCCGCCGCCCCTCCCGCTCCCCCTGCCGCGCCTGCCCCGTCTCCCGCGCTCTTCACCCCTCCCAGGGCGATCCTGGCTTGCCTGCGGTGGCGGTTGGACTGCACGCGGTCGAAGAACTCATCGTCACTGGGGAGGGGATGGCAGGAAGGGAGGGGAAAAGGAAAACGGAGAGAGGAGAACTCACCGTTCACTCAGGCTTGCCTGCGGTGCCGGTTTGATTGCACTCGGTCAAAGAAATCATCGTCACTGCGGGTGGCAGGAAGGGGGGGGAGGGGGGGGGACGGGGAAACAGACATGCATGGCACAGAAGAGAACTCATTGACTCTCGCTTCTCTGCGGTGCCGGTTTGATTGATTCATTGAGAAAGGGAAAGCTCTTCATTGATTCAGGGAGGAGAGGAGGAAGGGGGAGGAAGGGGAAGAGGGAAGAGGGAGGAGGATGCCTGCGCTGGTGGTTCGACTTTACTCGGTCAAAGGATGCCTGCGCTGGTGGTTCGACTTTACTCGGTCAAAGGATGCCTGCGCTGGTGGTTCGACTTTACTCGTTCAAAGGATGCCTGCGCTGGTGGTTCGACTTTACTCGGTCAAAGGATGCCTGCGCTGGTGGTTCGACTTTACTCGGTCAAAGGATGCCTGCGCTGGTGGTTCGACTTTACTCGGTCAAAGGATGCCTGCGCTGGTGGTTCGACTTTACTCGTTCAAAGGATGCCTGCGCTGGTGGTTCGACTTTACTCGTTCGAAGGATGCCTGCGCTGGTGGTTCGACTTTACTCGTTCAAAGGATGCCTGCGCTGGTGGTTCGACTTTACTTGGTCAAAGGATGCCTGCGCTGGTGGTTCGACTTTACTCGTTCAAAGGATGCCTGCGCTGGTGTTTCGACTTTACTCGTTCAAAGGATGCCTGCGCTGGTGTTTCGACTTTACTCGTTCAAAGGATGCCTGCGCTAGTGGTTCGACTTTACTCGTTCAAAGGATGCCTGCGCTGGTGGTTCGACTTTACTCGGTCAAAGGATGCCTGCGCTGGTGGTTCGACTTTACTCGTTCAAAGGATGCCTGCGCTGGTGGTTCGACTTTACTCGGTCAAAGGATGCCTGCGCTGGTGGTTCGACTTTACTCGTTCAAAGGATGCCTGCGCTGGTGGTTCGACTTTACTCGGTCAAAGGATGCCTGCGCTGGTGGTTCGACTTTACTCGTTCAAAGGATGCCTGCGCTGGTGGTTCGACTTTACTCGGTCAAAGGATGCCTGCGCTGGTGGTTCGACTTTACTCGGTCAAAGGATGCCTGCGCTGGTGGTTCGACTTTACTCGTTCAAAGGATGCCTGCGCTGGTGGTTCGACTTTACTCGTTCAAAGGATGCCTGCGCTGGTGGTTCGACTTTACTCGGTCAAAGGATGCCTGCGCTGGTGGTTCGACTTTACTCGTTCAAAGGATGCCTCCGCTGGTGGTTCGACTTTACTCGGTCAAAGGATGCCTGCGCTGGTGGTTCGATTTTACTCGTTCAAAGAATGCCTGCGCTGGTGGTTCGACTTTACTCGTTCAAAGGATGCCTGCGCTGGTGGTTCGACTTTACTCGGTCAAAGGATGCCTGCGCTGGTGGTTCGACTTTACTCGTTCAAAGGATGCCTGCGCTGGTGGTTCGACTTTACTCGGTCAAAGGATGCCTGCGCTGGTGGTTCGACTTTACTCGGTCAAAGGATGCCTGCGCTGGTGGTTCGACTTTACTCGTTCAAAGGATGCCTGCGCTGGTGTTTCGACTTTACTCGTTCAAAGGATGCCTGCGCTAGTGGTTCGACTTTACTCGTTCAAAGGATGCCTGCGCTGGTGGTTCGACTTTACTCGGTCAAAGGATGCCTGCGCTGGTGGTTCGACTTTACTCGTTCAAAGGATGCCTGCGCTGGTGGTTCGACTTTACTCGGTCAAAGGATGCCTGCGCTGGTGGTTCGACTTTACTCGTTCAAAGGATGCCTGCGCTGGTGGTTCGACTTTACTCGTTCAAAGGATGCCTGCGCTGGTGTTTCGACTTTACTCGTTCAAAGGATGCCTGCGCTGGTGGTTCGACTTTACTCGTTCAAAGGATGCCTGCGCTGGTGGTTCGACTTTACTCGTTCAAAGGATGCCTGCGCTGGTGGTTCGACTTTACTCGGTCAAAGGATGCCTGCGCTGGTGGTTCGACTTTACTCGGTCAAAGGATGCCTGCGCTGGTGGTTCGACTTTACTCGTTCAAAGGATGCCTGCGCTGGTGGTTCGACTTTACTCGGTCAAAGGATGCCTGCGCTGGTGGTTCGACTTTACTCGTTCAAAGGATGCCTGCGCTGGTGGTTCGACTTTACTCGTTCAAAGGATGCCTGCACTGGTGGTTCGACTTTACTCGCTCAAAGGATGCCTGCGCTGGTGGTTCAACTTTACTCGTTCAAAGGATGCCTGCGCTGGTGGTTCGACTTTACTCGTTCAAAGGATGCTCGTTCAAAGGATGCCTGCGCTGGTGGTTCGACTTTACTCGTTCAAAGGATGCCTGCACTGGTGGTTCGACTTTACTCGCTCAAAGGATGCCTGCGCTGGTGGTTCGACTTTACTCGGTCAAAGGATGCCTGCGCTGGTGGTTCGACTTTACTCGTTCAAAGGATGCCTGCGCTGGTGTTTTGACTTTACTCGTTCAAAGGATGCCTGCGCTGGTGGTTCGACTTTACTCGTTCAAAGGATGCCTGCGCTGGTGGTTCGACTTTACTCGTTCAAAGGATGCCTGCGCTGGTGGTTCGACTTTACTCGGTCAAAGGATGCCTGCGCTGGTGGTTCGACTTTACTCGTTCAAAGGATGCCTGCGCTGGTGGTTCGACTTTACTCGGTCAAAGGATGCCTGCGCTGGTGGTTCGACTTTACTCGTTCAAAGGATGCCTGCGCTGGTGGTTCGACTTTACTCGTTCAAAGGATGCCTGCACTGGTGGTTCGACTTTACTCGCTCAAAGGATGCCTGCGCTGGTGGTTCGACTTTACTCGTTCAAAGGATGCCTGCGCTGGTGGTTCGACTTTACTCGGTCAAAGGATGCCTGCGCTGGTGGTTCGACTTTACTCGTTCAAAGGATGCCTGCGCTGGTGGTTCGACTTTACTCGGTCAAAGGATGCCTGCGCTGGTGGTTCGACTTTACTCGTTCAAAGGATGCCTGCGCTGGTGGTTCGACTTTACTCGTTCAAAGGATGCCTGCGCTGGTGGTTCGACTTTACTCGTTCAAAGGATGCCTGCGCTGGTGGTTCGACTTTACTCGTTCAAAGGATGCCTGCGCTGGTGGTTCGACTTTACTCGGTCAAAGGATGCCTGCGCTGGTGGTTCGACTTTACTCGTTCAAAGGATGCCTGCGCTGGTGGTTCGACTTTACTCGTTCAAAGGATGCCTGCGCTGGTGTTTCGACTTTACTCGTTCAAAGGATGCCTGCGCTGGTGGTTCGACTTTACTCGTTCAAAGGATGCCTGCGCTGGTGGTTCGACTTTACTCGTTCAAAGGATGCCTGCGCTGGTGGTTCGACTTTACTCGTTCAAAGGATGCCTGCGCTGGTGGTTCGACTTTACTCGGTCAAAGGATGCCTGCGCTGGTGGTTCGACTTTACTTGTTCAAAGGATGCCTGCGCTGGTGGTTCGACTTTACTCGTTCAAAGGATGCCTGCGCTGGTGGTTCGACTTTACTCGGTCAAAGGATGCCTGCGCTGGTGGTTCGACTTTACTCGTTCAAAGGATGCCTGCGCTGGTGGTTCGACTTTACTCGTTCAAAGGATGCCTGCGCTGGTGGTTCGACTTTACTCGTTCAAAGGATGCCTGCGCTGGTGGTTCGACTTTACTCGTTCAAAGGATGCCTGCGCTGGTGGTTCGACTTTACTCGGTCAAAGGATGCCTGCGCTGGTGGTTCGACTTTACTCGTTCAAAGGATGCCTGCGCTGGTGGTTCGACTTTACTCGTTCAAAGGATGCCTGCGCTGGTGTTTCGACTTTACTCGTTCAAAGGATGCCTGCGCTGGTGGTTCGACTTTACTCGTTCAAAGGATGCCTGCGCTGGTGGTTCGACTTTACTCGTTCAAAGGATGCCTGCGCTGGTGGTTCGACTTTACTCGTTCAAAGGATGCCTGCGCTGGTGGTTCGACTTTACTCGGTCAAAGGATGCCTGCGCTGGTGGTTCGACTTTACTTGTTCAAAGGATGCCTGCGCTGGTGGTTCGACTTTACTCGGTCAAAGGATGCCTGCGCTGGTGGTTCGACTTTACTCGTTCAAAGGATGCCTGCGCTGGTGGTTCGACTTTACTCGGTCAAAGGATGCCTGCGCTGGTGGTTCGACTTTACTCGTTCAAAGGATGCCTGCGCTGGTGGTTCGACTTTACTCGTTCAAAGGATGCTCGTTCAAAGGATGCCTGCGCTGGTGGTTCGACTTTACTCGTTCAAAGGATGCCTGCACTGGTGGTTCGACTTTACTCGCTCAAAGGATGCCTGCGCTGGTGGTTCGACTTTACTCGGTCAAAGGATGCCTGCGCTGGTGGTTCGACTTTACTCGTTCAAAGGATGCCTGTGCTGGTGGTTCGACTTTACTCGGTCAAAGGATGCCTGCGCTGGTGGTTCGACTTTACTCGTTCAAAGGATGCCTGCGCTGGTGGTTCGACTTTACTCGTTCAAAGGATGCCTGCGCTGGTGTTTCGACTTTACTCGGTCAAAGGATGCCTGCGCTGGTGGTTCGACTTTACTCGTTCAAAGGATGCCTGCGCTGGTGGTTCGACTTTACTCGGTCAAAGGATGCCTGCGCTGGTGGTTCGACTTTACTCGTTCAAAGGATGCCTGCGCTGGTGGTTCGACTTTACTCGTTCAAAGGATGCTCGTTCAAAGGATGCCTGCGCTGGTGGTTCGACTTTACTCGTTCAAAGGATGCCTGCACTGGTGGTTCGACTTTACTCACTCAAAGGATGCCTGCGCTGGTGGTTCGACTTTACTTGTTCAAAGGATGCCTGCGCTGGTGGTCCGACTTTACTCGGTCAAAGGATGCCTGCGCTGGTGGTTCGACTTTACTCGTTCAAAGGATGCCTGCGCTGGTGGTTCGACTTTACTCGGTCAAAGGATGCCCGCGCTGGTGGTTCGACTTTACTCGTTCAAAGGATGCCTGCGCTGGTGGTTCGACTTTACTCGGTCAAAGGATGCCTGCGCTGGTGGTTCGACTTTACTTGTTCAAAGGATGCCTGCGCTGGTGGTTCGACTTTACTCGGTCAAAGGATGCCTGC